CGCTCGTGGGGCGGTGAATTTCACGAGCTCAACATGGATATAGTTGTTTTCCCAGAATCCGACTTGAGGATGATGACGATGATTCGAGTGATGGCGAGGATGATGAATCAAATGCTGAGAGCGATTTGTCCGACGTTTTGTTGGCTGAGGTTGATTCAGACGATGAAAGCCTCATCCCCGTTGGTGAGAGCGAAGACTGTAGACGAAATTCATTTCAAAATTGAAATTCATGGGTTTCAGAGTGAAATTGAAATACACGGACTTTACTCTTTAGAATTACCTTGCTGAAATGCATGTATTTCATGTCAATCCAATTACTTTATATTTAGGTAAAAACAAATAATGGTATTGAATTTTAATCTTTCAAATTCAAATAAACTCTTTCAAATTCAGGTTACCAAACAGATCATAAAAGAAACTCTTAAAATATCTCTCGAACCAATTTTCAAGATTATCTCCAGCCTTTCCCTTAAAATCCCTTTTTAACTTCTAAATTCTTAAAATCCCAAAAATAAGAATTTTTAAAATTTAAAAGTCAAACTTACTATTTTAAGCACTTTCTTCTTCCTCGGGACATCACCGATTCCTTCTCCTTTTCTTTCCTCACCAAGATTTGCTCTCACCATGGACAACGACCCAAAAGAACAACTTTTTCTCGCCTGATCTGCTTCTAACATGGCTAGAATAAAAAATTTTCAACTAAAGAAACCAGCCCCCCTGTAGATTTGATCAGCCTCTTCCAAGCCAAAGATCTTGTTACACCCAAAAACTGGGAGCGAAACAGACTCCGTACACTTGTGAAAGGATCCCACAAATGCACAATTCTCTGAAGTGACTAAATTCATAACTAACAATCCACTAAATTAATTTATAAAATCTTAAAATAAAATCTAACTTACAAAATCATAACCTATATCTAAAAATCTATATCCAATTACAAGTGGCTAGCCTTCTAGCTTGTCACTCCCCTTAGTTTCCTGCGTCTCGAATCTCACTACCTGAAATGGTGAACAAGGAAAAAAAACTATGTGAGATAACTTAGTAAGTGAAAATATGGATAGCCTTCACTAAAATTTTAAAGTATGCAGTAAACATTTTAATTTCAAACAAGAAGAAAATCATAGTTATAAATCATTTATGCATAGTAAAATCTATTTAGTGGTCCTCTCAATTAGTCATGGCCAGTGTATTCTCCCAAATAGCTAGATAACAGAAATATCAGTGTACTCTTCCACTGGCTAGATAGCAGAAAAAGCCAATGTACTTTCTTGATGGCTGGATGAACTGGCTCTATAGAAGTACAGGTCGACATGTGCCAGTGTTTGACTCCCACTGGCAGGATAACGGAATTCATGACTATATTGGTGACAAACCATGCAGGAGTTAACAATAAAATTTAAAATTCACAAACCAAATTTAGATTTCTAAAACAAATAATAAAACACCATGTGGGCATGCTCAATTCAATAAAAATAGTAACAACTTCAATTCAAATCAATCATGCTCAAGTGCTAATAAAGAAAACAAATTGGGTTAGATCCTGCCACCATCTCAAAACAGTTTAACATGTGCTTTTAAAGCTTTTATCTTAAAATCCAAGGTATTACTATAAATTTACTTACCTTGCCTTGAGGTATACAACAAGCGAGGAATTCAAGAAGGCAAGGTGCTTAAGGTGATTTAGAACCTATAGCACATCAATGAATGCTTAGAATATGTTTAAAACAACTCCAAAAAGACACACAAACAGCAGGTATCCCAAACAGATTTCTAGACAAAATAAGATGGAAAAATGGTAAGAAATTGAGCTCTTAGTTATCTTGGACGCAGTAGAAATGTTGGACAGCAAAGTGGGGGGTTTTCTGCCATTTAAAGTAGTCCCAAAATGCTTAGAAAATGACCTAAATAGTAGGGATTTCTGCGCAAAAGACAGCAGCAAAAACAAGGAAAAACTCAAGCTAGAACTGGGAAAAAATGGACAGCATTTAAGCAGCAAAAAAAAGGCAACCAAAATAAAGCCAAAAAAAGGGTTTTAGAGCAGAGAAACAGCATTAAAAGTCTACTAAAACTATGATGTAATGTAGCAGCAGATAAAGTCGGAATAAAACAGAAAAGGGAGCAAATTTTTGTCAAGTTCTGGTCAGATTTTGTGCTTAAATTTCCATTTCTTATCAAAAAGTGCTAAAATGGTGATGGATAACAACCCAAACAAATTAGCAGATTGGAGGGTGCAACAACCTAGATATGAAATATTGTTCATGATTTTGACAATGATAAGCCTATTAATCTTTATATGTTGCTAGGAGAAGGAAGAAAAGTTAAGTTTCTTACATATTTCTAACGGGAAGAAGCTGCTGGGCGCAGGCTGGACTTCGGGAGGAAAATTCTGGTGAGCTGCTGGAGATTCACGCAAGAGACCAGGAGAAAGATGAAGAAAAAAAAAAAAAAACAGCCTTAGCCCCCTTTTAAAACCAAATTTCAGTTTTAACCCCCTTAGGTTAGTAAATTTTTACCCTTATGCTGAAAAATAATAATTTCTACCATATAAGTCCCTAACTTAAATTCTAAAATTTCATAAAATTTTGAAATATTACAGTACAGATCTCCAAAGTGAAATCAAACAAATCCTTAAACACCATAAAGTTGGCCATTCAAATCAAGTGTTTGTTCCTCACATGAAATCCCAAATTTTGGGTCTATATTTCGTTTCTCCTCTACCCATTTCACTTAGATTTGTTTACCCACAACCGAAAGACCATCTTCTCCCTTTCCTGGTGAAACCTGATTAGAGCAAGTGGATTGGCCAATTTGGATCTTGGCCATCTTGGAGAAAATTGGGGTGGGTTGACTAGGTAGATCGCCGAGAACCAAAATTTGGCCAAATCTGGTCCCTAAACTTTCATTTCTGAACTTAGTTCGTCCTTTAACTTCAGAAAGCACTCAAATCATCCTTGAACTTTATTTTTCCAAAACCCAAATGATCCTTCCGTTGATGGAAATGCATACTTGGCAAGTTAAGTCTCCAGCAATTACCATTTTTAATTTTCACATGCTTATGTGGAAAAAAAACACCATATCCAATTGATGACATGGAATCAATTTCATTACACGTCACATTCCCACCTTTCCTCAGATCCCAAATCCAGACACTTTTCTTTCTCTCGCCGGTACGCAAGAATTTCTTGTTGCTTCCATGATCATGAATTTAAACTTCAATCTTAATTCGAGAAATCACGATTTTAATATGAATTTTTTCTTTTGGGTTGCATGAGTGTCGGCATGGCTAAGAGCTCCTTCAAGTTGGAACATCCCCTTGGTTCAATTCTCTCCCTTTTTCTTTTCCTTTTTGTGTTAAGAATTAATGTTCTCATGGCTGCTTCGTTTGTGGGATTTTGTTGATGCTGTAAAACCTTAACTTTCTTGATGTGGGTTTGTTGATTTAGGGCTATAGCTTGGAAATTTTGCCACAAAGTTTCTTTTTTTCTTTTTCTTTTGTATATTTCAGTTGTGATGAATGCTTTTTGGTATGATCTGATGTAAATTAATTAAGTAATTGTACTCGATATTTTTAGTATGAGGAAGGGAAAAGTTTGAATTTTTATCATTTATTTTCATTTTTAAGGTTTGGAATTATAGGATGGTTCACTCTACCAGAACCCGGGATTTGGTCCAATCCAATGCTCAAAACTTCTGCAGAAAACTGACATTTTGCTATTTCTTGATTTTTTTTTTTTTTTAACCCATTCAGAGGTAGATGCGAAATGGTTTTTCTTGTATGGAATCACCGTTTTAATGTAATTTGGCTGGTTTTTTATTTTGTGTATTGTTTTCCTCATTGCCGTAAAATACAATGATTTTTCTTTGCTGAATGCAGAAATCGATATATATTTGAAAAATATAATTTTCATTGAAAGATTATAGATTATTGTGCTATTCTTGCAAATGGTTTTCCTTTTATATGTAATAAAATTTGTATTCTTTCATGCATTAGAAAGGAGGCAGGCAGAAGCAGCCCGCATCAGAGAGAAGTATCCTGATAGAATACCAGTATGAAATGTTCATCGCTATTTATGTACATATTTTTCTGTGGTCTTTTTCCCTATTTCAAATGTCATGGTATTAATTTTTGGTGTAGGTAATTATTGAGAGGGCTGAGAAGAGTGATGTGCCTGACATTGATAAGAAAAAGTCAGTTTTGTACTTATTTTGACAACTTAGGATATTATGGTTTCCATGCTGCTTGGTTCCTGATTATTGTGATTTATCTGATATCATTAACTGATGTTATATTTTCTATACACTTAAACTTTAGCGCTTTTAGATTCTGAGATTTTGTATTCTTTTTACCTTTGCTCAAAGTATGTGCCCATTTTTGACTGATAAATGGGTTGCTGTTTGTTAATAGAAGTAGTTCATGCTTGATGTTTTTCTTATTATTTTGAAAGTATTTTTAATTTTTATATGTAGTCTCAAAACTTGTAGGTTATTGATTCCAGTGGATTTAACTAATGAAGATTTATATATACTTGCTGAAGAAATGCTTCCACATGATGGTGCTTTGAGGGGTAGGATGGCTAGTATTTATGTAGGCGATACCTGTGTATTTTAGGATTTTCTGCATAAAAGGCCACTCCCCAGAGTAGGGCTTCTGCCTTTTGTTTTTCAGATCAATGGTTTTGGTATCATGTCAAACCATGCTGTAGTAGGGATCATTTCCGATTGAAAATGACAATGATGTCTTTATAGTAGATGTATTTGTAGACAATGTTTCTAGAATTTCAGAATTTGAGATTGATGTGCTTTAAATTAATTTAGCAATCTACTGTCTGTTGACATGAACTTTAGTTGCCATAATTTAGCAATCATATTCTTTGGTGACCTCTGCTGTAATTATTCAATGATAAATTGGTTTTCTGGTTTGAGGAATTGCAGATGCTAATTAATGCTTAAATAACTCTTTATTGTAACATGATTTACTTTTTAAATTTTGAATACTAATTCTGCATTTCAAACCTTGAACATGCTACTCTGGATGAATTCAGGTATCTGGTTCTTGTTGACCTGACTGTTGGACAATTTGTCTATGTTGTCCGGAAGGGGATTAAGCTCAGTCCTGAGAAGGCCATCTTCATTTTTGTCAAGAACATTTTGCCACCCACTGGTGAGATAAAGTTATATTTTGAATTTTTAATGTTCATGTTTCCTGCATTATTTGCATAATGGAGTTTTTTTTCCCTTATATGCCATTGTAGCTACTATGATGTCTGCTATTTATGAGGAAAACAAGGATGAAGATGGTCTTGAAGAAGAAAGAATCAAGAGTTGCAGAGGATTTAGGGTTAAAGGGGAAAAGGAAAGAGAGAGTGAAGTGAAGTAGATTCTAGAAGGGGAGTCTGCATGGATAAAGAGAAAGACAATGACATGTGCGGCCTGTTTTTTCCATATAAGCATGTGAAAATTAAAAATGGTAATTGTTGGAGACTTAACTTGCCAAGTATGCACTTCCGTCAACAGAAGGACCATTTGGGTTATGGAAAAATAGAGTTCAAGGACGATTTGGGTGCTTTCTGAAGTTAAAGGACGAACTAAGTTCAATAATGAAAGTTTAGGGACCAAATTGGGTATTAAACCAATTTTGAAATATTACAGTACAGATCTCCAAAGTGAAATCAAACAAATCCTTAAACACCATAAAGTTGGCCATTCAAATCAAGTGTTTGTTCCTCACATGAAATCCCAAATTTTGGGTCTATATTTCGTTTCTCCTCTACCCATTTCACTTAGATTTGTTTACCCACAACCGAAAGACCATCTTCTCCCTTTCCTGGTGAAACCTGATTAGAGCAAGTGGATTGGCCAATTTGGATCTTGGCCATCTTGGAGAAAATTGGGGTGGGTTGACTAGGTAGATCGCCGAGAACCAAAATTTGGCCAAATCTGGAGGGATGTGGGCTTGTATGAGTTTATTCAACTAACCAAGTGTACATTTGTCATGGATAGGCCGATCTTGAGTTTTGCTTTGCTTTTTTGGTTAGGTTCTTTTAATTGCTTCCATTTCCCATGTGGTGCCATGTCCATGAGTCTCTTTGACATTAGTTCTTTGACTGGATTATCGTGCACTGAAGAAGAAATTTCTGCACTTCTAGCCATGCCGTTGGGTGTTGAATATGACCACAAAGATCTGAAGCCCTCTTATCTAGCTTTCATGAGATCTGCTTGTGACCACAGTAAGCTTACCAATGCTCAAGAACATATTTCATTTCTGCTTACATTAATCTGCGTTTAATTTTTTAATTTTTGGAAGGTCATCGTTCTCGATCTGAAACCCTAAATGTTTTTGATATATCTATTTATAAATTTTCATAAAAAAGAGTTTCCAACAATAAAAAACTACTGTATTAGATTGAAGTAGATTTTTAATTAACAATTTTCTCCTTTTTTTTTTTTTCCTTCATGACAAAAATTCTGAACCAATCTTGAGGAAATCATTTAACTTTTAATTAAAGCCTGAAAAAGAAAATTTGGTTAAAGGATAAAAAAAAACTTAAGAGTAAAACATGAATGAACTTGATGGAGAGAGGCAGCATGAAGCAGAGCAACAGTAGAAATTAGAGAGGAGAGAACTGGGAAAACGGAGGCCTCAAAGTCAAAGCTATGGAGAAATGCAGAAATTTTGAGAATAAAGTTGGAATTAGAGAATCACAGCTCTCAAGAGGGAGATTTGAAGGGGATGGTGGGAAGGGAAACCATGAAGGGAACATGGCGACAGGCATAGAAATAACAGAAGCTGGGTTTTCACTTTCGTGTTCAATTTGTGTTGTCTTATCAAACTTGGCTTGAAACTTTAAATTTTTGTCTTTTAGCTAAGTACTGGAAAGGCCGGTTTCCGGTGTCCACTTTTAAAAGCTAAGATGAAGTGGCACAATGAGAACGAGAGTGGTGGAAAGCGAGTGCCTCAGGCGATTGCAGCTAGCACCGCTCTTGAATTTACATCCCTCTGCACGGAAAGGAAGAAAAAGGGAGAAGACCATCAGCATATACTACTTAAACATAAATCAGATGAATATCACCACGCATCAGGGCATCATTTGATTGTATATCCCAGTGAAGGGAAAAGAGGGACAAAGCAGAGGACCTTCGAAATATGCCACAAAAAATAAATCAGACGACAACTTAGGTCCTTGCCCAATTGTGATAAGAACCAAAACTGGTAACATTATTATCAAATACATGTATATGATATCCTAAAAATAAACAAATATATTATCCCATTATAATTGGACCTATACACGACTCAAACAAGTTGCTAAGAACATGCTGAACTTCTGCTGAGCTATGCTCACTCCGTATGAGGTTCACTAAGACAGGAAAAACATTTGAAATGTACCTCCTAAATACGTTCCTATCCAAACCACTCAATGCCTTCAATGCTGACACAAGCAAAGCGGTTCTTGCTGACAGTTCTTCCTTTTTGGCTGAACCCAAAGGAAGAATCCAATGTGTAACTTGCTTTTTAACCGGCTTCTCTGGAACATTTTGCGGCTGTGTACAATTCAGATAAATGAGCATTATTTTCTGACACAATGCCACGAGTTGGGATTCAAGGTTCATCTCCTCACAGACAGTTGGACGATCTCTGAGGAAATTTTGGATGATGTTAAGGTAACTTTGATGTGCCTCATTTTCAAAATGAACCATGGGAGGGTAAGAAAGGTCCAGCATTGAGCATGCTTTCTGTATTTTGTTTTGAAGGGCAACCTCAGAGTTCAGTTTGTGAGCATGTGATGCAACCAAAGTAAACATCTCAAAAACAATTGTGACATTGGCAGCTGACAAGAATTGTAGGTGAGTTTTATACAGATCAGTTACAACCTGGAATGATGAATGATAAAATAAAACAAAGATGTTAATACACAGATCTATTGACTTTTCTTCACATGAAAAGTTGCAAATATATGTTAAGGTGAAATAAACCCAGCATGATGATTACCTGTCATGGAAAAGATGCATGAAAATTTTCCCTAAAATATTACAAATATGGCGAAGTAATAACTGTTTCAGAGGATAGAACAAAGAATGGGGAGAAAGAGAGAACCTGTATGATAAGCAGTTGGACTGCAATATGACTCTTCATTCTTGAAACGATGTATGCCATAGTTTGCAGATTATCATCCTCAAGATCTTCATTATTTAAACCATGGTCAGAACTAGTCCCAGTATTAGCATATAATGAATATTCTGGCACCTTGATATCATCCATGGTTCTCAAGAGCTTCATAAAGCCTGGCACCATAGATGCAGCTGCCTCCTTCAAAGCTAGAAAAACTTCTCGCCATTCATCTTCTGAAAATCTGCTTCCCAAATCCCCTGTCAAACGCGATAATGCTGCAACCCCAGTGGTGGCAGGTCCTTGAATAGGACTTCTTATGTATCCAGTCAGTATTGATACCACATTTGGTAGCTGAGCTCTCACCACATTGAAGAAACTGATAAAAAGATCTACTAGACACTGAGCTGCCACAGCCGAAGTTTCAGAATCCCATATACTTCCTTCAAGATGTGGAGAATTTGGACTTTGGGAATCTTGTTCATCTTTAATAAGTACGTCCCTCTTGTCACATACACCACTAAATATAGGGAAAACAACTGAATTGAAAATGATAATCCAGAATGATCGAGAGAATAGATGACCATGATCCTTCAAAATGTTGAAAAGAACTTCCAAAGAACTCTTCCGAATTGCTGATCTTGAATCAGAAGTTAGTTTTGAAAGACCTGAAACAGCAAAAAATATCAAACCTGTAATTCTTAGAGCCAGAAAAGGCACTTTGCCTCCTGGGGATACAATCAAGTTGCCATTCAGAAAGATTAACTTTGAAAAAGCATGATGATGCTATTCTGCATTCCACTAGGGTCATAATTTCTATTGTAAGCTTCAAAGAAGTGATTCAAAACCATCCCTTCATCACATACAATAAATCTCAAGATCAACGTTCATAGGTACCAACAGACCATCAAATCCAGCATACACAATCACTATAATAATCCAGTCCAATGATTTACAGAATTAACTCCAAACTGTTTTTTAATTTTAAACGGAGAAGGTTGATGGGGCAATGAGTGTCAAGTAGACCAGTGTTGAAAACATTTGCCAACAAGAAAATAATTTATTTCAATTGGCAAGGTATATGTCAATTAAAAATACATGTGAAGCAATATATTCTGTTTAATTAACTAACAAGATATCGTCAATCAATCGGCACATTACTCTGCACTCAGTAGTACATGACAGGCCATCATGAATAAGGATTAACAAGCAGATAGCTTTATAAATGGATTACCTTTGAGCAAGGGAACCCAAAAGGAGCCATAATCATCAATGTCAGTCAGACTCTGAACATCTGAACCATCATTTTCAACTGAAATGGATAAGTCATCAACACTGCTCTTCTCAGTGCAAACAAGTCCTCCCTCTGCAAGCTTGACAGCACAGAAACGTAGAAATGCAATTGCATTGAAGCAAACATCACTATTAAATCTGCTAGTTGTGAATGTGAGGAGGCATCTAACACAATCAGTAAAAGTTGTAGTCTCTGTCTCAGTTATATATGGAAAATATTCCCGTACTATTTTTTCCATAGTCTCAAAAGCCAGCAAGACAATATTCTTCCTTTCATCTGCAGCAGCAGCTGTGAAAACCTGAGAAAAATGGCAGAATGATTTAAAGGAGCAAGCCTATTAGAAAAGATAAAAACATAACTATAAAACTAACATACCATAAAAACACTTTTCCACCCAGATTTCACGTTACTGACACGGCTAAGGACCATCTGAGAAATGCACCTAACTATTAATTCTCTAATTTCAGCTGAGCTACTTTTCTGCATGACAATGACAAATGGTCTCAAAAATTCATTCTGGAAATTGTAATTTGCCAGCTCCTCACGCTCTAAGAATTTCATAGCAAGCTGCCGCAATGAATCCATCACAAAGATTGCAACAGAGAGATTCTCTGACAATCCAACTGAAACGAAGAAATCAGAGAGAACATTCCACATACGAGACCAAACTAATCTGATGCGGTTCATATTGTAATGCCTGCAACAACAAAAATATGCAGGGTTTGTGATGTTTTTCTTAAATTAAGTAACAAGGAAGCTTTTCAACACAAATTAAAAAGAGTCTATATCCATCAAACTTAATCAAGAATATACCAAGGAAAAAACATGTACTGAGAACAGATATGGGGAAAGAGGAAGATCAATGCAGAGCTTTAAAGGGAGAGGGGAATCTTACGCAATTTCAACAAGTTTAGTGAGGCTAAATACTCGAGGGTCTGTTGGTGACTGCAGCTCCAACATAGAAACTTTACAAAGGGCTTTCACAAAGGCTACTATTCCTTCACTGTTTAACCTTTGGCTATTGGCAAAAACGTGGTTCAACTCAAAACTACCAATCTGATCCAATAAATTCAAGTTTGAAATGAAGTTATTAATCTGCTCCGATGTCACCAGTCCTGAAGTATTAACTCCAACTGTGTTGCTGTCATATGAACCACCACGAACAACAGCCATAACAGCTGGATTCTGGAGAGTTCCCTTTTTCTTCAAAGACTGTAAACTGATAGACTTCAATGTTTTCTCATCCGTCTCAGGATTAGATGCAGTGAAAAAAGCTGCATCAGTTGGAGCTCCTTCACCTAACAATTGCAGATGCTCAATTCTGGAAAGGCATGTTAATATATGTTCCCAGGCTTCCTGTAGATGATTACCATCTTCAATGGCAATTGATATTATTGCCTGTATAAAATATATAACATCAGAATACAGGTAACACAAAGACACAGCACAAAAACCAACTAACCATACACATGCCACAAAAACAGATAATTTGAAAATTACAATGCAGTTCTTATTAACTCCAGTTTAAAAATTTAAGTAATTGGAAAACTTCCATCACCCAACCTACTACCTAACTGCTGATTGAGAAAAAAAAAAAAAGCCTACCTAACCATGCCTATGTTCCATAAATGTGTAGTTGCAGGGCAATGATTAAACAACAACAATTTTCATAGTTTGTATATCATCAGAGGCTTTAAGAAAAAATTTGCTGATGCAAGCAACTTTTGCTTCATTCTGCCCTAAAGCATAAAAGAAAACTTTTTAAGAAAAAGTTGTGTGGGGAAGATTTCCCTATAGATAATCATAAGTAAAGAATGATTACCTTCACAGCATCCACATTCTTTTGCTTCATATCTGCAGCACAATGAAGATATGTGAACTTGGCCACAGATGTGACAAAAGCATCTCTTTGAGTCTGCAAACCCATTACTGCTGTTACATGTATGGCATGACGAAATCCTTGTAAGCACTGAGAAGTAGCAAGTCTGTCATCGCTCTGATCAAGTGTGACACTGAATGCAGCCAACATAGGTCCCCAGCAGACTTCTACCATGAACCTCAAGATTGCTACATCTGTAACTGCATGATAAACAGACCTGCAACACCAAAGAAAATGAATTCCTACCACTGCAAGACATCACATAGGCATTTTTGGGAAGATTTACATAGGGTTAGAAAATAAGGAAGAAGTTAACAAGCATATAAAGTGGACTGAAATATCCCCTTGTTTACTAATATAGCATTCCTATTCTCAATCTTTTATAATTGGCACCCACCATTCATTGTGGAAATGACATCTACCGACCTAGGACAATCTATAATGTCACAGGTGTATAAAATTGTCTGCACCTTCTGGGCACACATACTACAAACCATAATCTCAATGTTTGGCACACACACACTACAGACAAAGAAGAAAAGAACCAACCAAAAGCCCTAAACTTATGTACTCCAAAAACAGCAAGGTGTGCAGAATTTATCATCATAAAAGACTTACTCAGATTTTCCAGATTTTGCCTTAAACTGCTCTTGGATGTGCCGTATAAGAAGCCCATTTGCACCCACTGGTTTTTCTTCAGTCTGCTTCCCAGTGACTAAATTGAGTATACCATCCAAAGCCAATAGCTTATTAAAGCTGTTCACCTGCTTGCTTTGTGGAACAGAAGAAGGAGCATTCATCTTAATTTCGTTTTTCACAATTTGATCATAGAGCGCACTGAGATACTCTTCTGGCAAATCCTTGCCATCATCAATTCCTCGGTTATTTCGGATGAAATCAGACTTGGTCATCTGAATACCAAATTAATGCAGAATAGAATTAAAATCAGTTCCACACTTATCCATATGATACTGAAAACACAATCCATATGTAGCTACCATTATCATTTGAAAAGCACGAGTGGTGAAAAGGAAAATTTTACTTCCATTTGCAGTAAGAGCCAAACACTAGGGTGCATCATAGATAAAAGAATAGAATCCAAAAGAATTTCAAGTATACATGAGTACATAAATGGAAATGAATGTATCAGATGTAGTAGATATTTGTATACATACCTGCATAGGCATACTTATGTATTCTCAAATAATTCATAGATTATCTCTTAAAGTTAGATAAACATGTTTTTTGTCTTTTAGAAGTTAGATAAACATACTGAATAAATGGAAATTCCACCAAGCAAACACAAACCTCAAGAGTCAATCATGTTGATACATAACAATAACAAACCTTATCTTTCACCATGCTGTTATGGGCATCTGTATTGAGCATTATCACTGAGTAAGCCAGAACATAGGCAGTATCTGCACTAGTGAATGAGTTTGGATTGCATTTACAATAGCGCTCAGCAAACTTTTCCATGATGCGATCAATTTTTTGTGCCTCCCCAGGTAACCTGAAGCCCCGTAGGAAAAACCTTATTGATTCTCCAAAATCCATTGATTTAAAATTGAAAGAGTCTACATATGCATGCATAACTCTCAATGCAAATTCCTCCCTTTCACCTAAATAGTCACCAATCATGGTTTCGTTTAGGCCAGTGGTGTTCTTCAGGAAGGTAGCCACTTCTTCTGGAGAACCTCCAACCTTTTTGGTGTTTATTAGAAACTCAATTCCCCTGGAAGGCTTCCTATTAAACAATGCAATACCTTTCTGCATTTAACCCAATAAAGTTGTCACTAAAACCAACTACTTCATTATGTGAAGAAAACAACAAAATAGTAAAATGAAAGGAAAATATAAAAAATCATAGAAGCCTAGGTAATGCTGAGAATTATCATGACATAATAGGGCAGCCCTCAGTAACTGTTCAGGTATTCTGATGTTGGAAACCTGAAGATATGGTAATGCTCTATTCTTAGTTGAAGCAATAACTACCTGGAGTTCTTTCTTGTAAGCTCGGCGTTGCTCAAGAGTAGCAGTATCAGACAATTCTGAATTCATTTCTGGGTGTGACTCATAGTCACAAACAGAAGAATCTTCACCTGTTGGGGTTGAATGGCTCTCAACTGAAGTGTCAATGTCCAACCCCTTAGGCAGATAGAAATCACCAATCCTCAGTTGTTGGTCCATCCAAGTTCCCATGGACTTAATAATGCTAACCAAGCACTTTACTGATTCATGACGAAAAGTTATGTCCTGGACCAGAGACAAAGTTGTGGTCGAACCAGGTGGGGGCCCTAGAGCAGTTTTCAGAAGGCCGTTTACAATCCTGCAAATATCTGAGGGAATTATAAGAGTTTTAATACATTTTATTAAACCAAAACACTAAATAATGGATGAGAAAGAAACAAAAAAATTTTAAAATTGAAGCTTTGAAAAGTAAAAATATGGCAGTGGCTAAAGTTAATTCTTATTCAGGCCCTACCCTCCTGTTATCTTATTTTAAAGCTGATTATCCAAAGAAAAAGGTTTTAGATTCATAAATAATTTGATCTGCAAAAAGAAGAAGAAGAAGAAGAAGAAGAAGAAGAGACTTGAAATCAGTTGCTTGAGGAACAAACCATTTCCATTTATCCAAAAAAAAAAAAAAAACCTATTTAATTGTTAGAATAATTTCAATTTTGTTAATTGGCATCTTACATGATGTCTTCTACTATCTATACAGTTTTATCCTCCCTTTTTCAAGTGTATTTTAACTAAAGCAAAAAAGTAAAGTAAAAAAAGTATGTAATAGTGTCTGTGTTAAGAACTTAAAGCATTACCAAGCTAGACACTTAGCATCCCTGTCCAAATGATGTGCATGTGTCAGAAAACCATAAAATCAAATATTTGCTACTTTAGTGAAAGATTATAATCAGTTATTATTGACACTTCCCAAAACAAATAGTTTAATGGAATACTTGTCTAATTGTAGCTTTGTTTACCCCCAAAATGTCCTAGAGGGCTTTTTTCACTGTCAATCATGTCTACATTATTCAAAATTCTCAGCCATGCAGTATAAAACACTAGAGTAGTACTTTTAATCTTAGACACTGTTCTTGGTACTGCTCACAGAACAGAATGGCACCCAAATTCCTTTCTAAGTGCTTGATTCCTCCATTCCATCTTTAACATTAAACTGAACCTCATACAAACTCTAAATTAAATCCTTTGGCACTAAAATCAACCTAAAACACCCTGAATTTGTGCTCTGCATCATTATCCTGTGCTACTCCTACATCACATGTGCTGAACCTGACTAGGACTCAATAACAAAAATCACCAGGCAGGGCAGCAGTTGTGGAAATTTTCAATTAATTAGGTATCAATGTAGGGACCACATGCATTGTAGAACCCCCTACATAAAAAACACAAGTTGCAGCACAAACTGAAAATCTTAGCACTCTCAAACACTAACTAGTTTATTTAATGTGTACACTGCCTCTCCCACTTGCAATAATGAAAAGAATAAATGCTCCATAGACAAGTGAAAATACATTTCGCTCAGAAAAACCATAGACATGTTAAATACCTTTCAAATATGTTTGGGGCATCCACATCGCAGTCATAGTTCACAAATATATCAATGATAATATGTGAATCCTGAGAGATCTTTTCCAACATATTGAGGACAGTCATTTTTTGCAGAAAACTGGGCTGGAGAACATTTTCAAGCACCCGGAGGACAAGCATAGGAAAAAAAATACCAATTTCATCCTTCAATCCTGATCTGAATTTTGCTAACAAGATCATGAAAATAGAACACTGGAGCTGGAAAATTGACATTACTGACAATGCACTGTTTTTCAACAAGGACAAACAGAGGTATTGCTTAACAGCACTGAGAAACCTGCATCAGTTATAACACTACATTAGCCTAAAAGAAAATATTTAACCCAGTGCAAAAAAACATAAGTTCTTATGCAATAGTACAACAGACCACATATGACTGCAAAATAGATAATGAATTTTGAAAAAGCCCATATAGCAATCATTTCAAATCATTTTCTTTTCCTTTAGTTTATATCTTCAGAAGATAACCAAGTTTTAGTGTTTCATTATATTCTGAATGGTTACTGAAGATCATCATCTCTTAATCATAGTCAACACAATAAGAAGCACCAGCCCAAGGCTGCTCTCAAGAATAGACCACAAAGCAATACGATCATACTTATATACAACAAAAAAAAGGGTGACAAATTATTGCAGAAATTAAGTCCATTTTTTAGGCAAGCACGAGATCATGAGTACACAACTGTTGAGAAAATCCAGGATATTATGGTATAGATTGACTTGCCTATCATTTGAACGCCAAATTGGACCCCCATTGTTCATAATGACTTTGAGAAGTTCAAGGGACAATGTCTTCCCCCTTAAAAGTATCTGGTCATCTGGATTCTCCTGTGACGAGAATTTCATAGACAATTTACACAAATTCTTAAAAAGAAGAAACCCATCCTCCCTAATTTTACTACCACCACCCAAACCTGATTCCACTCCCTCCTTCAACTCTCTCTCAGCAAATTCACTCTTCTCCTCCCCTTTTGACCCAATAGTTTCACCATATTGCAACTCCTTGGCAGAAATCTGCTGTAGAAGCTTTAAATCAGGAACCCCTTCACATGCACTCAAAACCTCATTTACAAAATTCTGACAAAAATATATTGAACTTCCTTCATTCAAATTCTTATCAGTGAACTCGAGTAGCTCATTGACGGAAACCGTTTTGATAGAAGCGTCTACAGTATCTTCCTCGACTCTGGTGAACACAATGACTACAATCTGAGCTAGAACAGACTTGGCACAGATCTGATTGGTCCCATTCACCCCACCCAAATATACATTATAACAAGTCCTAACAACATTAACAAGACATTCCCCACGGATCAATACGCACGGCGACCGAACAGCAGCGAGCAAGACCTTCAACACTGCAAGCTCGCTCGCCTCCTCGCCGATGCCACCTACCTTGCACACACTTTGTACAATCCTAAAAAGTATAGAATTTGGAAAACTGCTATCGATCTCCCCACGAATGAGGCCGAGAGAGAACAACTTATAGACACATTCCAGAGCAGGCTCTGCGACCTTAGCATAATTAGCATCTAGCGCGAGAACAACGGGATGGAGGACCAATTCGGCGTCGGAAAGGGAGATGCCACGGAGCGGGGAAGCCGAATCAGAGATGGAAACGTCGGTGAGGGTGTCAAGCTTGTCGAGAGCGGATTTGCAGGAGGAAACGAGGTGCGAGTGCTTCCTCCAGGCGGCGTTCTTGATGATCTTGTCAAGCAATGGACCAAGCACGCGGCCGCAACAGGATGGCCCGCCGAGGGTTTGAGACGTCGATAGCATTGGCGTTGTTGCGAAGGAAATTCAGATCTGCAGAAATCCGATCCCAAAGGATTCACATTAAGGTGATCAAGGAAGGAAGAGGGAACGAGCTTTCGTTTTTGTCTTGTCTTGGATACGACTTTTTCTTTAGGAAGCAAGTAGGGGGAATGAAATTTGCTAGAAAATGCGAGCGGAGGAAATATGGGATACGGAATGAAGAGGGAGGGCGTACACAGCACTCGCACTTTCGAGCTCCTTTCTCGGTCGTTTAACGAAGGACTCTCTTATAGTCTTATGCTCTCTGCCTGTCTTTTTTTTTTGTGAAAATTTTTTTATTTCTTTTAATCTTATTATACGAATATATTTTTCACCCTTTTTTTTCGTATAATGTTAATTTTATGGAGTTGGATTTTTTTTTTTTTTTCCCTTCATAAAGTTGGGTTTGATATGCTCCATTTTTTAAGCTGTAACTGAAAGGGTTTAATGTTTGTTTAGTCACCTACTAAATGTTAGTAACAAAATGCATCCGTTTCCAACAATCTTCTTCATTGCTTAATAAATCTTTGGGTTGGGTAAATATTAAATTCTGCCTCCAAATGCCAAAAACTTGAGAGACCTTTCAAAACTTAAGACCTTTCGAGTTCAAATATTAAGATGTAGCCAAAAAGGATTTGAGAAAAAAAAATTCTAGAGTCTTTTAGTTTTAGTTTAACTATAGTTTTTTTATTTTGATTTTGATTTTTATAAATTTTACAACTTTATTGGGAAATTCATTTAGTTTCATGTGCTTTTATAATATATTATTATCATTATTAGAAAAATAAAAATAAAAATAATTTTAATATTATTAAAAAAGTTCATATTTAGTTATTATGGTTAAAATTGTTTTAAATAAGTTTTTAGTTTTGATTTTTAATATTTACAAAATTTATACAACCAAAACTAAAAAAAAACTACAATCATACTAAGAAGGTGTTTAGTCTAGTGGTTTGAAACTAACAATTAGTGATTTCACCTAATCTAATGAATAAACATGTTTTAATTATTAATAACAATTATCAAAAGAAGAGTACAATTATAAGCACTATATAAATGTAAAAACCAACAATTACTAACAATTTAAGTTTAAACTTGTTAGGGATTATAGATTTTGGCCCAAATAGTTGCTAGACAAATGGTGGGTTTCGATTCAAGAGTCATTTATGACCTAATAAAGGCTTGGACTATGGAATCTTCATCACTTGGCTTGGATTCCAAGCTATGCCCTACTTGGTCTGGTTTAATGTTTAAACGAGTGTAATACCTTATATTTTTTGGGACATACTAAAATTTTTTAGGCTTAACTTGAAATAAACTTGATAGTATTCATTACTTAATCATGTGAATATTGAAATAAAATAACACAAGAAAAATGAAGAATTGGTAAATACAATATATATTATAACTAAAGTTATAAATATAAATATATGTCCTAAACACTTAAAATTAACAAAATAAATTTGCCAAACAACTAATTAAGCATTAAATATGCTTTATTAGTTCAACAAAGACACATTTCTTATACCCTTTGCAATTTGATGTATTGAGTTTAAAATTTTAAAATAATCCATATACATGTTCACTTCGAATACTCCTATCAATTCTCCCTATAAGCTATTAGATGCACATACACAATTTCATAGCCTAAATGTCTAAGCACATAATTATGGAAAGAAGATTCCAAGAGAATTCAAGAGTAACAACTTAAAGTGAAATCAAAATCCTTAAATTTTTCTCTAGAGAAACAAGATTTGTAATGTAGAAAATAACAATAAAAACACAAAAGAAAAAGAAAAAGTTAAATATATTCAACTTGAATACATATTTTGACATATTGACATGTGATTATTAGTATAGATTCAAAGCAAAATCAACTCAATTTTCCTTATGATCCTTCTTGTATTGTTTATTTTTGAAGACAAAACAATTTCCTATCCTTTCTATATGTAACATATAAAGATCCCACCAATAATGCCTTCTACATCAAACTAGTAAAAAATTTCAATAGGTTATAGAAATGGATTATGATTCATGCACCCTTTGATTCAACACCCGGGGGTGCACACTCTACCAAAAAATTTTAAAAGTAAAATTACAAATTTACCCTTTCCTTTTTTTTTCTCCGAGGTTCTCTAAGAGAGCTTAGTCTGGGTTCTTCGAGAAGAACCCAAACCCTTTTTTTTTTCTCTCTCTCTCGGTCTGGGTTCTCGGAGAACCCACCTCTTCTTCTATCTCAATTCATTTCCCTTCTGTAGATCTAGACCATCTCTTTGCATCTCATCATCATCACAACCTCCACCTCCATCACCATCCTCAATCATCACTGAAATAGAAGGATAGGGGCATAACCATAGATCCCTTTGTTTTCCATCACCATCGTCACCATCACCACCATCATCATCTTCTTGCTAAGCAGCCCCCAAAAAATAAATAAATAAAAGGGTTAAGCAGATCTAGTTTTGGGGAAGGAAAAGAGTTTGGCAACTAAAAACACTAGACAGAAATGGTTGAGGAAGATGGAGAGACAAGAAGAAAAAGGGGTATTGAGAGGAAGATGACTTTTAAGGTTAAATTTACAATTTTATTCTTAAAATTATTTGGTAATGTAGAGTGTGCACCCTTGGGTGTTGAACTGAAGGGTGCACAAAGCATTTTCTTATAGAAATATACTAACCGCCAATTTTTGCAAAATAATGGAATTGAATGAGTTTGAATGCACATGGTAATTTCAAAAGTAAGAATTTAAATATTTAATAATCAAAATACAATGGATACACATGGAAACAATGCATGCGGTGAAATAGAATGAAAAAAACAATAGATAAGAAAATTCCCAATGATTGCTACCAAATTTAAATAGTAGCATCTAAAAGATAACAAATCATGTTATAGTATGGATGTGAAAACCAACATAACGCATGAAATATGTGTTTGTAGAGAAGGATATACGTAAAAGATAGAGGAAATGAAGGCTACACTTCTATTTTATTTTATTAAAGCAATAACATAGTAATTTTGTATATGTACAAACACTAAATTACAAGTGTACATTGGTTAGATACCAATTGTACCTATTAATAAAATTATTTTTGGCAATTAAAAACAAAAAAGAAGAGAACCAAAATAGTATCACAAAAAGAATGAGCCAAGACTTGCACTTCACCATCCAGTGAAAACACTTCTAAAATAGAAAAACTATAACAAGAATTCTTTAGGACTTACATTAACAAAAACCAATTAATTTTAACTATATTAATAAGAAAAAATAAATGAGAAGCTTTTTAAAAAATAAATCCAATGGGAGATGCAAAAATTCAATTGTCTTACCAATGCCAATCTATGAGAAACTTCATTAAATATTATGTTAGTCATTTTGTTTGAAATCTAGCCTTCATCATCTAAGCTCAAAATTTTCAACCCTAATATATTCCTAACTCCTCATAGAGCCATATATAATTGCCTATAACTAAAAATAGACCTTAGCAGATATGTTCTAACATGAGAAAGAGTTTGCCCTTGATTTTTTTTTATTTTTTTTAGCCATAGCAAAACACCTAATTAGAGGAAATTGTCTTTGTTGAAATTTAATTGGCAATGGATGATTATAAGATGTCATGATGATTTAGGGGATTAATACTAACTGGTCTATGTTGTTACCTGAAAGAATCTTAGCCTCAATAACATTATTTCCCATTTTTGTAATAAGTAACCTTTTCCATTGAATAAACTATTTGACTAATCAATATTCCTCAATAGCATAACTAGCACCTAACTTTAAAATTCAACTTATGGTTTGGAAGTCTAGAACTTGTGAATGTATTCAATACATTAAGGGAATAAGTCACTTCATCATTTTGAAAGTTAGCACCAGCCTTGCAAATAAAGTCTAAACTTAACTAACTTCTCTCTTTACCATGAATGAAATATATTAAAAGATCATTTAACATAGCAGAATCATTAAGAGTTGGAGACACAATAGCATGTTTTTAGAAAAACTCAAAATCATTTATTTTAATTTTTTCCAAGTTTGGATATATAAAGTCCACTAGTTTAGCATGCCCATTTTCTAGGTCTTTAATAAACATCTTATCTAGATTGTCAATGATCACTTCACCATCAACATCTTCTCTAACTTCTCAATTACCAATGTTTAATAAACAATTAGAAAATTCCCTCAAATCAATAAGATTCTATTTGAAAAACTTGGTTGTAGCCTCATGTTTTTCTTGTCAAGGTTAAGACTTCAGAAGAATCCCACAACGATAAAGAATTTATCATTGCATTTACTCTCTTGGCTTCCACCATAAAGAACAACTAGTAGTATATATCTAAAATCACCTCTAACGACCACAATTATCCCTCCAAATGGTCCTTTAGAACAATTAAAATTAGAAAATTTCAGAATGTCTAATATGGTTTCGTCTAATGCTTCAAAATAGAATTTGTATCATTGGAGCTTTATCCCATTAAATCAATCTCATCTATGACAACAATTTAGCTTAAGAAAAGTCTATTTTGATGTTGAAAGTCAAATTTTCATTTATTTCAATTGTTCAATTGGGATTGCAAATTTAGAATAAGTTGTTCTTCCCTTAGTAAGCAAAAGTATTATAATACCACTAAAAGCAACATTAAGCACTATTTCTCTTTTTTATCAAAAGGCTACAAGCAAAGTTTTCCAAATCAAAGATTGTAGGTTTTTCCATTCTTGGACCTTCATCAAATTAGTCTCATCTTAACCCCTCTAAAATCTTTTTTTTTTTTTTTTTGTAATGATTAGTAGCATAACAAAAACTATGCAAGGATATTATTTTTATCAAAGCATTTCCTATAGATCAATAACAATTTTTTGATCTAAACTTTTAAATTTCTCCACTAAACTGTGAAAAAGACTATGCATATATTTAGTTTACACAAATAAACATTGAAAGCAAAGCCAAAAAATTAAAATGATTAAATGTACAAGTATTATACATACTTAAAACAATTCAGTATATTCCATTCTTTGTATCATATATGTATAATTATGAAAAATTAGGGTTTTTCATTTTCAGATAATGATGATTTTGTCCTTTGACCTTATAAATA